CAGTGATGAGACCAAGGTTATCAAACTAGTAGAAGAACCAAGCAACACTACGTAAACAACACCTGCACACAAATAACAAATACTCACAACCCGACGTATTAAAGGAGTTGTCAATCCCTTTCGGGTAACGGCGCCGGAAATTGGCAAACGGACGTGAGAAAGTTGTAATAATTTGATAGATCGAACGCCAAATAAAATAAAGTGCAGCAAGGTATTTTTGTATTCTTTGTTTAATAGATCTGAAAATAAAAGCAACTAAAAATAGATCGCAAAGGCAAATATAATAAAGAAGAGACCCCTGGGCCGTAGGATTCACTAGTGGCTTCTCTCAAGAAAAATAGCAAACGATGAGTGAACAAATTACTGTTGGGCAATTGATAGAACTTAAAAATAATCATGACGATATCCAGACAATGATCATTATATAGGCATCACGTCCAAGATTAGTAGACCGACTCCTGCCTGCATCTACTACTATTACTCCACACATCAACCGCTATCCAGCATGCATCTAGTGTATTAAGTTCATGGAGAAACGGAGTAATGTAATAAGAACGATGACATGATGTAGACAAGATCTATTTATGTAGAAATAGACCCCATCTTGTTATCCTTAATGGCAACGATACATACGTGTCGGTTCCCCTTCTGTCACTTGGATCAAGCACCGTAAGATCGAACCCATCACAAAGCACCTCTTCCCATTGCAAGATAAATAGATCAAGTTGGTCAAACAAAACCCAAATATCGGAGAACAAATACGAGATTATAAGCAATCTGCATATAAGAGATCCAAGAAGACTCAAATAACTTTCATCGATAAAAAGAGATAGATCTGATCATAAACTCAAAGTTCATCGGATCCCAACAAACACACTGCAAAAAGAATTACATCATATGGATCTCCAAAAGACCATTGTATTGAGAATCAGACGAGAGAGAGGAAGCCATCTAGCTACTAACTATGGACCCGAAGGTCTACAAAGAACTACTCATGCATCATCTGAGAGGCGCTAATGGACATGATGAACCCCTCCGTGATGGTGGCTAGATTAGATCTAGTGGTTTTTGGAACTTGCGGCGGCTGGAATCGATTTTCGTCTACTCCCTTAGGGTTTCTGGAATATCGGGGTATTTATAGAGTAAAGTGGCGGTTCGGGAGGCAACCGATGTGGGCACAACCCACCAGGGAGCGCCTGGGCCTCCAGGCGCACCCTGGTGGGTTGTGCTCCCCTCGAAGCACCCCCAGGTGCTTCTCCGACCCATTGGATGTCTTCTGGTCCACAAAAGTCCACAAAAAGTTTCGATGCGTTTGGACTCCGTTTGGTATTGATTTCCTGCGACGTAAAAAACATGCAAAAAACAGCAACTGACACTTGGCACTATGTCAATAGGTTAGTACCAAAAAATGATATAAAATGACTATAAAATGATTGTGAAACATCCAAGAATGATAATATAACAACATGAAACAATAAAAAATTATATATACGTTGGAGACGTATCACATGCCTCGATGGGACAACACATGCCATGTGCCTCGACGGGCCAACACACACCATGCACCACATGACTAGGCCCCTAACCCGGACACAACCATGTAACCATGATGGTATACTCTGCTACCCTTATGTAACACCCTAGCCACCCCTAAACTAGCAGTAGTTACTCCTGACTACCCTCTGGGCCATAGCATGACCCCACATACTAACACAATTCTTTCCAGGGTATCATAGCCATCCTGACTTAATAGGATTGATAGTTTTACCCATACTAACAATGTGCATCTTATTTTGTGGAAGCTAATCTCATAAGAACCTCTCGGTTAAGTGTGCTTGGTATGGAGCAATATCAAGATGAGTTGTATAAGTGACCAACTGGGAAGTTTCCCGGGATGCACACAAGCGAGAACAAGAAATGTGCTGGAAAGACTTGTGTTTGTTTGTGAGACCAATCTAGATCCGAAAGAGTAGTCGGGACTAACTACTACCGACCCAGAAGTGACTGGGGTGTTAGACTTGCAAGTCTTTTGGGATGTGTACAAGTGATAGAGGTGAAGGTGTTCCATCTTTCGATGAGATGATAACTATCCTTTTCGGCGAAAGTCGACTTTGACGATCCGATTACAAATGTGCGAGGACTTCGCGCCTTAGCAATCACTAAACCAACTTCAAGAGGTCATTGACCACGCCGGAGCACAATCAACCTGACCATGTGGGTCTATTCCTGGCATGCAAACGAAGAACACACAAGAAGCCGTTATAGCAATATAGCAATCTAGATATTGTGAATTGAAGAGGAAAGCTTTATTATAAGTGGCCGGGGGGGAGGGGGGTCTGAAACATCTTGGCCTGGTCGTTGGTCACAAACAAAAGACACATTGCACTATAGAGAACTTTAATCTAAACAAAAACCAAGTCTAAAACGGCGTCCTAAGGGCTATATTTATAGAGAGACAGAGGGGGGGGTCGTCCACCCTTGGCAAGGTAGGACTAAATTTTGCCCTAAGTAGTTTCCCTATTAATACAGACTCTAAAAACAGTCTATTAAGTATATTTCAAAATTACATGGGCCTGGCCCAAAAATAAGGTGGTGTAGCACCTATAATAAGCTATGGACGAAATTTATGACATGACATCTTGTATATTTCATCCATGTCCTTGTATGTCACCATAGTGGCTTCAAAGTGTTGAAAACTCCACTAGAAACACCATTGTTGTTCACTTCGCATGCGCCTTCATCTCCATGCTTGGTCCTACTCCAATGTTCATCCTTCTTGTCCATGCTAGGCCCTTCAACCATAAGAAAACAAATGTATCCAATTTAAACAACATCATATTCTCATGTAAGTACTTGATATTTTAATTGGCACACACGAGCTCTAGTAATTGGTTCTGTATGTGTAGCAATAGGGATTGCGGGTGTAACCATAGTAGTGATGTCCTCATCAACAAGGCATTGATTGCCACGCCTTGATTATCATTTCACCACTCTCAATAGTACAACCTTCTTACGACTCAAACAAACACAAACGCGCATAATAATTTAAATATGTCGTTTATGAGGGGGGTTCTTCAACCACATTTCCCACATTTTATGATGACTAAAAACATGTCATACACTTGGCCACCAGTCTCCCGATCACTTGTTATTCCAAACCCACTCTTGGACACAGATGTACTTTCAACAACAAAAGAGATAATCAAAGATGAAATCTCTAGAATACCATGATTAAACTTAAGAAATCAGCGAGTATAAAATACAATCATCAAATCTTCAAAATGTTGAAAGAAAATTCTCATATTTGTCAAAAGTCCATCTCATTTTTTTTGAATTTTTAGGATAAAGTGGGTATGCTTGGATGGTGGTGGTTGGTGATGGCGGGGGAAGTGGATTTGAACACAAAGTCATTGTTCAACGCGCTTGGAATAGACAGCAAATAAAAAAAAGAGGGGCATTGAGCAATTAAATACTTGATGCCGTATTCCGTTACCGCTAGTGTTTCGGTGCTCGGATGCTGTTTTATCTTTTTGGAGTAAAGCTTGATGATATATGCTATATAAAAATTTAAACGGTGTGCATCGAGGATGTTGGCTTCTAGGTCACCGCAAACGCTACAATGACAACAAAAGGTCAAAAGTCAAGCAACACATGACCTCAATAACACCAGTCTTCGCTTTATAAGGAAACACCAAACTAGACTAGCCGGCCACCATCAATACTAGTACACAAAACGTCAATATCTTGAAACAACATATCAAGTACAACGTAAACACATACACTCACATGATATACACCAGGGGCGGCACCAAAGGTATTCTTTGGCATCCACATGAATACCGCGCGCATTGCTGATCCGTGGGTATATTGCCGCTAGCTTGATGTATATCTGGTGTACATTGCTATTGCCCCGCCACTGATGATGAAATAAAAAGAAGGAAATTTCTATATATATTTACATAAATAAACTCACTACAATCTATAGTTACCGAGGTTCGAGATGTTGTGACCCTGTTGCAAACACACTGTCTCCACTATAAAAAAAACTCATCACGGCGAGGACTGCAATGTTCAATTCCTTGTAGGCAAAGCCTTACGGAAACGGCAATTTCCTGCTCTGAGCACCAACCAAATACGGTACCCATCTCACGGGCTCCACAGTACACCACTAAACCCTAGTATGAACCGAACTTTCTCAAAAGCCCTCACCAGATGCTCACCGTAATACATGGTGTACGCCACAACTACCTAACTACAGAAGCTGACATGTGGGGCACAGACCCGCGCGACTCCATGTGTCATAGAGCCAGACCAGCGCCCGGCGCGTCCAAGCGTTTCCCCCGGAATGCAACTCCCCGTAAACGACAGGACGGTTCCACGCCGGGCGATGGCGACGGCACCGCGCCGTCCGCCGCAAGCCAACCCGGCACCCACCCACGTCAGTCCGCCCACTGACTGCCCCGCCCCACCGGAAACGGCCCACACGTCAGGCGCGCGGGGGGCGGCGCAGGACGCGTGCGCGACGAGCCGGATTCCCGCAGCCCCCGTCCAATCGAACGGCGAGCGGGCCAACAACCTCACGCCTATGAATTCGAGCCGCAGGATGCGCGCAGGCGGCGCCCGGCCGTCCGATCCGGCCCCGCCGCGGGGATCCGGCCGTAGAATATGAATTTGATTTCGAAAGCCAAGAGTGGGAGACAAAGAAAGGACGAGGACGGGGAAGGGAAGAGAGAGAAAGGGAGGAAGCTGCAGCTAGAGGGAAAATCCTCTAATCCCCCGACCCCCAGCCAGCCCTCCCGAAATCCGCCATTCGCCGCCCCTCCCGCCGCACGCACGCGCCGGAGCGCGCGGCAATCCGGGCCCGTCCTCGGCGCCCCCGCCCCCACCTGATCCGGAGCCGGCGGCCGCGATCTCGCCGCGGCCGCGCCGGATTGGGCGGCCGTTTCCAGCGGAGGCCGGGCCGTTTTTTGATCTGCTAGCTCCCCGGGCTGAGCGGATAGATGGCGGGGAAGGAGCAGGCCGGCGCGGGCGCGGGCGGGGCCGGGAGCGCCCCCCCGCCGCGAGTGCCAGTGCCCGCGGTTTCCACGCAGCCGCCGATTAAGAAGCTGGTCAGGCAGCTCGACTTCAACTACGGGAACCCCGCCATGGCGGCCGCCGCCGCCGCCGCTTCCCGGACGGTGCAGCCCAGGGCGCTGCAGGTCGGGTACCCGCAGCCGCACCAGCTGAGGGCCGCGTTGCCCATCGGGGTGCCACATCAGCTGCAGCCGCGGGGGCTGCCCGTGATGCGGCCGCATCAGATGGTGCATGCGACGCTGCCGCGGCCGGCACTGCCGATGGCGATGCCCGTGCCCGTGCCGCAGGCTCGGTCGGCCCTTTCGCAGCCAGTACAGCGCCCGCCGGTCGCCGTTCCCTTGTGAGTGCCTCCCTTTTCAAGATTTATTACGTCTTGCGTCAATTTTTGAAATTTTTGCTTCTCGGTCTTGCACTTCCGGGGCTCTGTTGTATCGAGGGTATGGAGGGGCACGACAGGCTCTTGGCTATGATGAATTTGTTTGTTTTCTCTTGATTCACATCCTTGGGTGTCCTGTAGTCCTTTTTTAAGCTGGTAATCCAAGTTTGAAAACTTGGTTCCCAAATTGTACTTTGCACTTGTGTTTCCTTGTAACAAAGATACCTGCTTGTATTAGGTGGATGCTTTTTAACTGCCATTTATTGTTAATTGTAGCATACATCCTAATGGCCTCTGACAATCCTAATTGATACTATAATTTTAAAATTTTCATTTTTGTAATTTTCCATCTCGCTGTTCTTATGTTTTTAGGAAGCCAGAGTCACCAAAACCACGTGGACGGCTGTATGATGGGAAAGATGGCACACCTACGAAGAAGAAGTGCTGCAATTGTCGGCACTCCAAATGTTTGAAGCTGTAAGTCAAGACTTGTTGTGTCTTAGCTTGACAACAGGTCAATATTATGATATGATTCTTGCCAATGAAGACATTACTTTCTTTCTTAGGAATGTAACGATTCCTTCACGTACTTCTTCTAGATGTCACCAAATGTTTGAAATTCCCTCCAGAATGACCCTTTTATGGATAGAGTTGAATCCAGTAAAATGTATCTGATTCTGTAGATATACAAGAAAATACACACAAGGCCATTGTCTCGCCTGTTGACTATTTTTATTTTACTTTTGCCCATAGAAATCTTATAAGAACTAATGTATGGATTGTGGAACTTTTTGAAAAAAAAGCTGGATGATAATGGCATATTGTTGCTAAGCTTGACAAATAACATGAGTGATGAGACAGAATATCTGATCTTATGGTGTGAGTAAGGTTTTGTATTAAGTAGTAAACTTGTAGCTAGTGAAATAATGTTGTTACTTTAAAGGAGCTGACATAAAAACTTCGTGACTAGTCAAGATAATTATGAAGCATTATACATCTTGAGTTGGACCTAAAGTGGTCGGACCCTTCCCCAGACCCTGCGCAAGCGGGAGCTACATGCACTGGGGCTGCCCCTTTATACATCTTGAGTTGGATCACTTATGCTTCAGGGGTGGCTGTGTCATTTAAAGTTTCTTTATGAGCTTTGTCAAAATGAGATTAGTGTCTGAAATGAGTATTTGTGTAATTTGTTGAAAATGAAACCTATTTTTTTTATGTTATCCATTCTGTTCGAATCATGTACATGTAGTTTAGATGGATAGTGACAATGAAGAGCAATTGAAAGAGTATCCTACTAACATTCATAAGTTCTGTAAAGCCCTAAAGTTTCTGCTTCTACCTACATTTTCTAAAAAAAACACAAATGATATGCTTTGATGGTTCACTACTATTGTTTCCATTTTCATGTTCATTTCAGTTTTAAGTCTTTGCATACTGCTATTTGATCCTATCAATCTGAATTTTATGGTTTTCTATGCTTAGGTACTGTGAATGTTTTGCATCTGGTATTTATTGTGATGGATGCAACTGCACCAATTGTTTTAATAATGTTGAGAATGAGGTGGCTAGGCGTGAAGCTATAGAGGCTACACTGGAGCGCAATCCAGATGCGTTCAGACCTAAGATTGGGAGTAGCCCACACACAAATCGGAATAATATGGTATGTTTTGATGTCCACGTCTCTTATTAACTAAATAGTTAGTTTTACTTTGATAAAAATGATGTCCATTGCTTCTACATATCAATGACTTATTCTAGTTTTTTTTTTCTCATCTAAACTGACACAACACCCTAACTGATGGCAAATGTTAAATAGGAGAAGTCTTTGGAAGTTACACATGTTCTCTGAAGAACTATTTTTTTACTGTATATATAAATATAAGACTTTTACAGCTTAATTTTCCTTTCTCAGTTTATCTACTCCGATCATTTCTCAGAATGTTGTATTGCCTCATACTATAAGCCTTCCTTAGTTTCAGTCAAAAACATTACTTTGTAAAAACATATGTCCATGCACTTCCCTGTTTGGCTGTTCAGATATTGTAAAGGATTTGAAAGCTGACAACTGTGAGTTGTAATTCTCAAATAGCATTGAAGCATCTTTGCGATTGATTACAATGGGAACTGCCGCCGGTTGAACTCTATTTTCTTGTTTTTTTTTCTCGAATACACATGAGTGTGCGTATCATATATTGGGCCTCTTTGAATTACAGGGTTTGTAAAATTCAGGAATAGGAAAAATAGAGGAATAGAGTGGCATGTCATCCTCGACCCTACAGGATTTGTATGAGCGTTTGATTGTGCGCAGGAAAAACGTTGTATTTTTAACATGAGGTTAGGGTGGATGGAAATTTTCCTATGAAAACTAGTACAAGTGAATCCTATGGATTGCAATCCTATGCATCAAACAACCCACCGAGGAAAAAAATCCTAAGGACTAGAATCCTCCAAAATTCCTTTAGAAATCCTTTAAATCAAAGAGGGCCTAAAGAAGAGAGCGGGGAAAGAGCCCCTCCACCCACATTGTTACAACATATTTACAAACCACACCACCGGTCCACGTCCACCGAAGTTAAACTAGGCCTACTCTCTCAAATACACCCACTCTGCTAACATGTCGAAGGAGTCGAGGCCTCCCTTCAGGATGCTTGCCTGCCTCCAGTGCTTGCCTTCCCTGTCGACATCAGTGACTACCTGTAGCCATTAGCTGCGATGTTGTAGCCCCATCGTAGACTATTGCATTTCGATGCTTCCAGAGCGTCCAGAAGGTAAGCACAATGATAGCCCGTACGTCCTTCACATGATGCCCAGCCAGAAGACAATGGCAACCTGACTCCCTCCCTCCTCCCGGGTCGCCCCGCGCAGGACAGGAAGGAAACCCTAGCCGGCGGCGGCGGGGTCCTCCTCCCTCTCCTCCTCCCCCAGAGGGCGCAGCCACGCGAAGCCTGGTCGATGCCGACGGTGGCGGGGAGATCTCGCCCTCTCGCACAGCGGGCTCGGCGCGGGCTGAGGCGGCTGGGCCTGGGTGCCACGCTAAACGGCGGGCGTGGCAGCGCGGTGGCGCGCCGGTGCAGTGCACGACGGCGGCGTGGCGGGCGGCGTACTGGAGGTGCGCGCTTGGGGGCCGGATGCGGGCGTGGCTCCGCCGGATCTGGCCCTCCGAGTGGCGGGGGCCATGGGCGGCTTGGGCTGCGAGCGGCCGCCTTCGTCGTGGCCATCTTGGCTGGTGGAGGGGGCGGCGCAGTGGTGGTGGTGCGACCATCTCCCCCCGCTGCTCTTGGTCCATGTCCTGCGGCTGGTGGCGAGTGTGGCTGGCCGGTGGTGGCTGGGGTGCTCCGGGGAGGGAGGTAGGGGTGCTTCCCAGCCTTGCTGTCGTGCGCGACGGTGGCCCTGGTCCCCGGTGTGCAGCCTGGCTGTGGCCGCTGACGTGGTGCCCCCCTGGTTTGGCCGGCTCGTCCCCGATCTCGTCAAGGGGCTCTCTTGGGGGTGGAAGGAGTGGCCTTCTGCCTCCTCGCCGGTTGGTGGTGGCTATGGTCTGTGGCGGCAGGTGGGGCTGGTCCTGGACGCCGGGGCGGCGGCCTCGGTGGTGGGAGCCGCGGTGCCCGTGGGCGGGGCGCGCGGCTCGGTTGCTGGCCGGCGGCCATGGCTGTGAGGGCGGCGTGGCGGCTAGCTTTCGGCGTTCGGTGGTGGGGGTGGCCAGCTTGTTCTTGGTTGCGCTTACCCTGTTCCGGTGGCGGATAGTGCGTGCCGGGGTGAAATCTTTGTCTGCCTTGGCCAGACCGACGTCAGCGGCGTCTGTGGGCGTCGTACCCTTCTTGAAGGCTACGTCGTGGATTCTCTTGATGCTCCGGGTGAAGACCCTGATCCTCTGGATCAGGCGGTGGTGGCGCTATGGCGTCGTGATTTTACTGAAGATGCTGCTTTGGAGGCCCTGATCCGTCGAGGTTCGGTTGCTCCTCTTCGTGGTATCACGTTTGAGGGCTCCTTCGAAGTCTAGTGCGGATTTATCTTCCTTCCTGTAGTATGCTAGATTTTGCTTGGAGTGTGTAGCTGTTCTTCAGCACCTATGTATCCTGCCTTGTGTGTGTGTGTGTGTGTGGGTGTGTGCTGTATGCGGTGGATTGTTGTTGGTCGTTGCTTTATATATAAAGCAGGGCGGAAGCCTTTTTCGGTACATGATGCCCAGCCCCGAGCCTAGAGATGCACCACTCACCGAGCTTGTCCTCGACCGATGGCGCCCAATCCGGTCTGCCCAGCGCCCGGCAGATAGTAGCCCACACATCTCTTGCAAAAACGCAGTCGAGGAGGATGTGGTTGATGGATTCCTCCTGTTGATCGCAGAACGGACAAGAATCATGGTGCGGGAGCCCCCTTCTTGCAAGCCTGTTGGACGTCCAACACCGATTCCGCAACGCAAGCCAAGTGAGGAAACGTCACTGGATTGGTGCCTTAGACTTCCACCGTCCATGTGAAATCAGCCGTTGGGACCACCTCCTGGCCCCAGAACTTTGCCGCGTATGCTGAACGTGCCGAGAACTCGCCATCATACTCCCAAGACCACACCACCTTGTCAGTAGTCTTGGTCTAGCTGCACAGTATCCACGGCAGTCCATAGCTCGAAGAATTGATGCAGCACATCAGCGGTAAGGTCCGGCCCGAGGTCAGTAGCCCAAGTGCGAAGCCGCACCGCCTCCTGAACTGTGTGTGCTCTCCTGGTGCGCCTCGACACCCGGTCATACTGGAGCGGAGCCAACTCCTGAACTTGAAAACCATTGAGCCATCTGTCTTAAGGATTCATTGGCCACTAGTACATATGTTATTTGACTATTTATTACTAGACCTGTAAACCACGATACTATTGACAGCCATTCTGTCAAAAATTTAATCTGACAAAGTGAAGATCTGGTTTCTCCAGTTAAAATATTTGTCACTTACAGTTGTTTCACCACTGAGACGGAGCTGCTAGTTTCCTTCCTTCCGGCTAAAATTTGCATTATTGCTTATCTGAAACAATAATTCTGTTTCCCAGAGAAGTCAGAGGCTCAGCATGATTATTATTTTTGGTTTGTAAAAAGCTAAAGTCTTATTCAATAAATGTTGGCTTAGACTATCATTAATTTTTTTTCCTGTCCCCACAGGGGACGTCTTCATTATTGTATTTTCTCATCTAGGCCATTTATCTGATTTGTGCTTCAGTGATATGTGTAATTAATACTAGTACCTTTGCTAGGAGGTAGCTGGTGATGTCCCTTTAATAGGGAAGCATAATAAAGGGTGCCACTGCAAGAAGTCAGGATGCCTCAAGAAATACTGCGAATGCTTCCAAGCTAATATACTATGCTCTGAAAATTGCAAGTGTATGGATTGCAAGAACTTCGACGGGAGTGAAGATAGAAAACATCTTAATCTGGATCACAAAAATGTCATTCACATGCAACAAGCAGCAAATGCAGCAGTAAATGGTGCTATTGGAGCAACTGCATTGTCGTCGCCTTCCACATCTAGGAAGAGAAAGCACATCGATTCTTCACTTGACCTTTCGACCAAGGAACATTTAGCTATCAGGAATGGTCAACTATCTCAGGTAACGACCATTTCTACTATTTACGCTTGCTCTGCAGTGTTTGTAATCTCTTTAACTGTGCATAGTGTGCTTTCAACTATTGACTTAAGAGGTAAGGTGAAGCGATCCATTCCATCACTAGGAAATTCCATATTATGATGTGCTTACCATGAAGTGAGTTGATAATTCGTGCATGTGCACTTGTGACCTACTAATTAGCTTACATTGTCACTACATGGCCGGAAAAGTTTATTTTCGTTATTGACATCCCAAGCAGAGTGATGCACATGCTACTTAAGTAAATCAACCTCACGCTTGTGTGTCTGTGTTGACTACCTCGCCGATTTTATGCCCTGAGATATCTGAAAGGGGTAACTACGGAAGTATAATAGTTCAGTAGCTGAGCACCTTTGCTTTCTGTGAATAAAAGAAATCGTGTCACCTCATTCTCTGCCTGCTCCAGTCTATGGCTGTGCTACTAGTCGTGCTTGGCCAACAGCTCCACAGCCATGCCCTGTCAAGCGCTCCATTTCCATTAGAGAATTTTGGGAGGTGATTAAGTAATTTGTTAAGTTAGTTTCTTTCAATGATGAGTTTTAGGGATGGGTGAGGTGGGATGGGTTTGAAGCACCAGCACTACCATGAACTCAGGCTTTAATAACTGTGAAGAAAAAAAAAACAGAAGGTGCATATTGGATGATATCGTCACCTTTCTGTCTCATCTAGAATAGATTTCAGAATAAAACCTGACTAATCAAAGAGACAGTCAAATGCTACTTATAGCAAGAGTTATTATGGGATTTTGAGAAGGTTGCTGTATATAATTTATACTTTAATCAGGTTATTTATCAGAAGAACGCAATGGCCTCCGATGGTTCACTTCCAATAGGCCAGTCTGCGCATCCTCATATGATGGGGCCCTTTAAAGTCACCTACAGGTATCTGTCAACTCTGAATTTCTACCTGCAGAAATTTTGGTTTTCCTCGAGTAGGACAACCTATCTGTTTTGTATTGATTGGTTTGTCATCCTTATAGGCCTCTTTTAGCGGATATTATTCAGCCAGGGGATGTAAAGGAGCTTTGTAAACTTTTGGTGACAGTATCGGGACAGGCTGCTAAGGCATATACTGGTATTGCTCCTGGCATCGTATTTAGTTTCCACTTTTCCAGTGTGTTACAGGAAATATTCCTGATGATCTTGAACTGTGCATGACATACATTTGTGATAGATATTCAATCAACTCCAACAGATCAGAGCCTCTTCGTTTTAAATTTTACCTGTTGCACGACTGCATCCAATTCCAAGTGTCCTTCTGTTGAGCCCTGGATTTGGATGCTGCTAGTGTTATGCAACTTCTCGGAACATCATATGTATATGCAGCTGTCATGTACTTGATTCAGTGCATCTCATCTCCAGTATATAGTTATATAGTTTGCTAACACTGCACAGTGTGGTCAGGATCACTGTCTTGTTCCGGTCGAAATCTTACAGTACATGGGGTCCACTTGTGAGTGATGGTTGCTGTAATGACACCTGGCACTTCTCAAATTAAACACCAAGTCTTTGCAGCTGTTCTATGATTGTCTTCAGTTTGCTACTTTTTTATTTTGTAATTTAAGCTAACCAAATTAATGTGTAGCATAAATTTGACGATGATGCTGTCATTGGAAAACATTGAAAATTAGGTCGGAAAATCCAGGAAGAGAAGGTTGCAGAGAAGGAAGATGGAGTGGGAGGTTCCCTAGCATTGACGAACCATGATAGAGAAGGCAAAAATAAAGATCAAAATCATCGGAAAATATCAATTGATGATCATTCAAGTGGAGGAACTGATATGGGCAAGGCATCTCTAGATGATTCCAGACCTGATTGCACTGATGACCAGAAGTCCAGTAGACCAATGTCTCCTGGAACACTAGCGTTGATGTGTGATGAACAAGATGCTATGTTTGCAACTTCTCAAAATGCTGTTGCTCCGCCAGCAATAGATGTCGATCAGAACCGGTCGGAACTGTATGCAGAGCAGGAAAGGTGTGTGTTGACAGAATTCCGCGATTGCCTGCGTAAGCTTGTGCAATACGGTAGAATGAAAGGTACATCAAACATCCTAGCGTTATGCTTTGCAAAACTTGGATAGGTTTGGTCCTGACCATTTCCAACCTGCAGAGGAGAAGTACTCCATGGCAATCAGATCTGAAGTGACCGGGCATCCAGGGCAGGTAAATGGTGCCCCGCGGATACCATATCCAAAAGTAGATGTACCTGTTGTAAAAACATTTCCTCAGAGTTCCAGCAAACATCTTGTTGCTGGGAACCCTTCGAGTGGGCATTTAGACAAAAGACTGAAGCCTGAGAACACATAGTTTGCCTCAGGGCTGTATTTGGGGTACAAGAATCATCATGTTTGTGGACCTTCTAACAGGTTGACCGGGGGACATGTACCAGTCTTGATGATTTAATTTAGGTTAAAGAAGTTCCTATTTATTCTCCTTGGTCAGAGTAAGTGTAATCTTGGATAGTTTAGTCCTAGAGTCGCCTTTAGCCTCATGTTGTTGTGTACCATTTTACTTCCTTCTTCTTCTTTAGTGTTCTGATGGTGAAGTTCTTCTCTCCAATCGTCATACTAAGATAAGCTTGGATGAAACTGTGCCTTGTACCATCATATGTTTCCTTACCCCGTTAGCAAGACATGCTACACTTATGAGTGATCAATTCTCATCTGGGATCTTGCAACACTTGTGCCACAAGAGGCTAGTTTGTCTTGGGGTCACTTATTTTCTCACTGTTGTGCAAAATTCCAACGCCAAGGGCCTCTTTGATTCATAGGATTTTGACAATGTAGGAATTGGAAAAGTATAGGATTGGAGTGGCATGCCCACTTGAATCCTATAGGATTAGCAATAAGTGTTTGACTGGGAAAAACAAAGGAATTGTAAAAAGAGGTTGGAGTGGATGTTAGATTTTCTATGAAATGTAGTATTCCCTCCGTTCACTTCTGTAAGTCGTTTCAGACAATTCAAAATAGGCTGTTTTGCATATTGTCTGAAATGTCTTCAAGGTCTTATAAAAGTGAACAGAGGGAGTACAAAAGATTCCATAGGAAAAATTCTTATGGGATTCAATCCTATGAATCAAAGGAGCAACATAGAAAAAAATCCTAAGGGTTTCAATCCTTCAGAAATCCTATAAAATTCCTTTGAATCAAAGGAGCCCCAAAATGTACGAGCCAGGGGTCTCTGACTTTACACTTCAGTGTTGCCTCAAACATGCCGTTGAAAAATTATTAAGTGGAGAACAAACACTCAAGTTTTACCACCAGAAGAATGCTTGATTTAACCAGATGGTGTATTACATCTAGAACGGACAACGGTGACGCAGATGCCTAACATGAGCGCACAGCTAAATGTTTTCTGACAGGCCCAAAGAAAATGTATGTCGTAGGCAGGATGTACTGTCTTCACGGTGAAGTTACTGCCCCAAGATTCGAGATGCTGAGCTTTTGATGTTCTCCAGAAACTTTTCCCTGTGAAAATCAATATACATGTTAGTAAATCCACAAAATACCATGTCAAAAGAAAAAAAATCCACAAAGTACAATAGTATCTTGAGCTGTAGTGATGGTGCATAGAATCACAATTACACGTATGCCAAGCTGTTTGTTCAAAAGTAAGTGCCATCCTGTGCGTTAAAATTATCGATGATGCAGATGTGAAACAAGCCAAAATGAGAGTGTTACGCTAGTTGTGGAAATACAGCATGAAACTTTCTCTGAAAATGTCATAGAACAACATGGTGAAGTAGCTGTCAGTTTCTTCTCACCAGTTATTCAAAATAGAGTATTTTCAGACAGAACTCCAGTTGGTTTTCCCATTTTCTACGCACTATTTTCTCAAACGGATAGATATACGTCTCCGCAATTTTGGCAAGTATGGCAATAAACAAGTGTTCAAGAAAGAAACAATTGAGGTTACCTGTCTGGCTTGAAGAGGAGGTTCCCGTAGATAAACCACTGAAAATGTCAGCATGAGCTATAGAGTGAGGCCAGGACTATGTGGACTTGTGGTAATACAGAGATAACAACTTCATTTAGAAATGACAATGTTATAGTTGAGGGTCTTGGGTAAAACTCACCCATGCAACTGCTATTCCGATTAGTTCGAAGAAAAGAGGGAGAACAGGGAGCTTGTCGATGACCTGAAGTTGAGATAATAGATTATCAGATTGATTTTGCTTATCTCGTTGCATAGTTGAAGATTGGGCGTCTGCAATTTACCCCAATAAGCATCATGGAAGCCCAGAATGCCGCAATTGCTGCAAAGCCGATACCCGCTAGAGCAAATATGTCTTCAGTAGTGTTGAACTGTTTCAGTTCCCATGTTTGTCAGTTTCCTTCATTTTATAAGAAAGAGGCCTAAATGGAACTACAATTCAAGGTAACTATTTGGTTTGTATATCCTCCATTTGACATAAAAACAACAAAAATAGTTCATAGAAACACTGCTGACAGTCTTTTTGTCCCCGCAAGACTTGCAACAGTTCCTAAGGAAATTTTAAAATATAGATGAGCTATGATCTAGCAGTATATAGCCCGAACCTTTTGGTGACTTAATATGGTATCGGTACTAAAAGATTCTAAGTTCAAAACCTAAGGAGTCCAATATTGCAACACAAATAATTGCAGTCTACTTCAAGCCCAAGCCTTATACCAGTGGAGTCTGGATGGAGCAAGAGGGCTATATTGCCGACATTCCTCGTTGCTAAACTTCGTTGGTGTGTGAAACTCACATTTAACTTTTAGGAACTCGCTTCTATGTCGGTATCTCGGTATCCCAATCCATCACTGCAAGCTCCCCAATAAGAGGTGGAAGTGCATCGAGGACCGATTCAAAAACAAAAGAAAAAACAGTTGGAAGGGCACGTCACTATCCTATCCTATGAAGGTAGTCCTATCATTATCAACGCTATTCTCACAAGCGTACCGATGCTCTACGACACATTTCCGTCGCTTTGGTTTTAGGCGAGGTCCAACTGAATATTGCATTTCGGTGAGCTCTCACGACAAATGGACATGACGACATGGCTTCATTTGTTTAATAGATTGATGGTGTTCAGCTTATCTCAAGACCATGATGCTTTTGACCCTCAAAAAAAAAAGACCATGATGCTTTTCATCGGAAATCACATAGGATGGATGTCTAATCCGTTAACTATATGTACGCGGATCTCATCAATGATGATCATGTCTTCCATAGGAAATGCATTTGGAAACTAACACTCCTGATTAAAATCAAAGCATTTATGCGGTACTTGGACAAAGGAGCGATCTTAACAAAAAAAAACTAGCCAAACGCAGCTCGCATACGTTTATTTCCTTTCTCAACGGGGGTATATAAAATTTAGGACCCCGTTGGCCAGCGAACGTTCGCTAGGAGGGATGGCATTTGCGAACGTTTTTATGGAAAAAAATGTTTGGAACACGCATGGCAGTTTCTTTAGAAACACATGGCAATTTCTGGCAACAAAGGATTTTGCTGTAAAAATTGTCGTTAGTTTGAAGGAATTGCCATGTTCCCACAACATAAATTGCCACGAAAAACGTTCGTTTTGCCATGCACCTACAGCGAACGTTTGTTGGATAGCATTTTATAAATCATTGATGCAGAAATCAAAATATTCCTAGAGAACCTACTGGCAAATTGCAACATCATACAATATAGTTAGTGACAGATGGAGGAGACTCACCGAACTCTTGACGTATCTGACGACGCTCCCGGAGGAGGCTTCTGAACTGTCCTGCGCAGCCCTGGCGACGACAGCGCGACTTCTCATCCTGCCTGCGCGTGACACATTGCGGAGCACGCAGTGAACCACGACGACGTGATGAATTTTGCATCCGGAGCAGTAGTTGCTACAGATGAATTACCTGAAACCATGGGGCTTCGCAGCTTCGGGAGATTCCTGGGGACGATCTTGCTGCTGCCGCCTCCGCCGCCGCCGCACGGCGCGAGGGCGGTAGGCTGGGCGATGGAGAGAGCGCATGCCATCATGGCTAGATCCCCCGCCTGGGGATTGTTGACGATGGGCTGAGTGGCGTGTCCGGAGGATGATGCGTGGAGGAACTACTGTTTGGCCGTCGTCTGCAGCAGGCAGCAGCGGATGTGAGCGCGAGCTCCCTAGTCCACTAACACTCCATCAGATGGCAGGTTTGCAGATTGCCCCTTTTTCTTCCGTGCTCTTTTCTCAGAAGTGCTGCTGTACTGTTTGTTGTACCACTCATTTTCCCGTTCAGAGAGGAGCTGTACTGCTCAAAGTCTTTGCGAGAAGTTCTTGTACTACCTCCGTATCATAAAACATACTCCCTCCGTTTTAAAATAAATGTCTCAATCTTAATACAACTTTATATTAAAACTAGTACAAATGCCCGTGCGTTGCACCGGGCGGTAAAATGGACATAACCTGCTTCATGTGTCACTGTGCATCATTTTTTTATATCCATATTAATACATGTTGATAATATAGTTAAACATGGGAATTTCCTTATTTTTAATAAAAGTTAACGCTTCAGAGAAAAGCCCGTGTGTTGCAACGGGTATGAAATAAATTCCGGGGTTTGCTTGATATTCAAGAGTTTATCTATCATGGTGAAATACCTCTATCTCTCAATCTTTTAAATTCTTTCTCGTCTTATCATGAATTCATATTTTATACTTGATCACTTCAATGATAAGACGACCCATTAGATAGTAAAGAGCCTGCTTCATGTGTCATTGTGCATCATTTATTATAATCATTTTAAATACATGTTGATAATATGGTTAAACGCCTTATTTTTAATAAAAGTTAATGGTTTAGCAAAAGAGCCCGTGCGTTGCAACGAGTATGAAATAAATTCCGGGGTTTATCTATCATGGTGAAATACTGAGCTCTATCTCTCAATCTGTTATATTCTTCCTTGTCTTATCATGAATTCATACATGGCCACTTCAAAGATAAGACGATCCATAAGATAGTAAAGAGTTTACAATGCTTTGGTGCTCACATTGACTACACCAACACGGCTACTTCCCTTACACCATCATCAGGGCTTGAATAAGATCAAGATTAGGACATGCAGAGTTGCGGGTGAGATGATATGACGGAGGACATGGTCGGTGTAGCCATGACCACATGCTTCTCTCTCTCCCCCCTCCCCCTCTCCCTGTCTCCCTGTCTCCCTCCCTCTCCCCCTCTCTGGATGCACCATTATTGTACTCGCTCAACTCTTCGTCGCTCCCTCCTCTCTATCTATCCATGTCTCCCTCCCTCTCCCCCTCTCTCTGGATGCACCATTGTTGTACTCGCTCAACTCTTCGTCGCTCCCTCCTCTCTATCTTATCAACGGCATGAGGAACATCGAGACTCTAGGGATATATTGATGATCAAATAGTCCATAGGTGAGCCCCAAATATGTTTTCCCTTAAGAAATAGTATTTCTTTTCAATATTTTTTTGAACACTTCCCAATATTTCAGTCACACATCTTTAAGTACTGAAACTACTAATGTATTCATAATTAAGATTAAGATATGGTAGGCTTAAACAGCAGCCAAGTAAATTGTATGCTAGCAGAGATCGACATCTAGCTCTACGCAAAAAAAAATCAACATCTAGCAGCACTGACATCGCATCGTTTAAGAAAAGCAGTAGCAACAGGCACTCAATCCCACCAAGAATTCCCTTTCCACCACTCAGTTCTTATCTTCTCCATACATCCACCCAGCGATCTGCCTCCATCTTCCTTCTCATGCGCCCAACAGCCACCACCCAACACCACCGGCAGTCGACCAGCACCAACGTTGCAACAGGAGAAAAAACTTCAACCCAGTAAGCATGACGTAAGACCACCTTGCACACACAGTCTCCATTCTCTATTTCAACATGGCATCCCACCCGTGTCGCGACTTATATTCTCTGTCCCCCCATGCGTGTGTTATGTAGTTGCAATGAATGACAACACATTAAGAGCTAAAGTGATGAAGATTACAAATCTTATTTGCTCATACATTTTTTGTTTTGAAAGCTCCTAGTGCATATTAGATCTGTTCAAATGAGCATCCCAGTATAATCATTAGAGAATAAGAGAGTAATATAAATTTGCACCAAAGCTTACTAACATAGCCATGGAAAACAACCATATATCAGCCATTGCATCAAGAAAGAAGTATTGAACTGGCCATGAGACATGATAAAAATATGGAGGTTGTTAATAATATATTCAAATTATATTCCTCTATATATTCATTTTCCATCTCGTTTGAATATCACAGATTGAAGAGGCAACCCTACCTCAACTTAGAAAAGAACCTGACCACCTGATATTATCAAGCACACTTCTCAAGGAATCAGTCTCAGTCTGGTGCTTGAAGAATTCTTCATGTTTTTTTCTGGAAGTTAGTCTTTTCGCCCTTTTTTTGCCGAGTAGGATACTGAAGAATGTGGTTTTGATCCTTTTGTTGCTGCTTCAGAGGTGCTAGTGGTACTCCTTGAACCTTTTTTTTGTGGGAAGCTACTCCTTGACCTGATATGATTTCAGATTAAAGCAAGATGAGCTAGGAGCCTAAGACCTGACAGACACCTTCTTTCTACCACTCGACTAAGAATTCGGCATTTCTCTATAAATAATCAAAAGATATACATTAATCAACATCAATTGAACATAAACATCAACTGTGCTCAATTCGGAAGATGTATGAAAATAACTAAATTTACCTTGGCAAAGTACCATACATCAGATGGAGACTTGATCAGAGCAGGCCGTGGTTCCAAGCTTTCGGCTGTGGCCGGCGAGAGCAACGGTATGGGGGCAGGAACTTGAGGGACATGCAGAAACCTTGCGCACCCTCACCAAAGTCGTGCACTTGCTGCGTATTGGAAACAACGTCGCTGCTGATGTTGTCCACAGTGACGAACCTCTTCCACCATGTAGATGGCGATGCCTCAGGGTGGACGTACTGAGCGGAATTTACAAATAAAGTTAAACCTCCATTTCAAAACACCCGATTCAGAACATTTTGCTTTCTTTATGAAGGTCGGGTTTCAAAATCCTCAACAATGATTGATTAAGTGTTATCATCCATTTTCTGCAATAAAAAAGTTAAACCTCACATTGTTAGTTTGTTGAAACTACATTGCAAATTGTGTGAAGGTGTAATTAGTAAAGCTTCAATCAAACGGTGAATCAAACAACATGTATTAATCTTGACATAAACTATCTATTGATTTGGAAAAGCTAATTATAAATGCACACGAGTGAGGCACTCTTGCTCAATTGATCTACCAGCTTCAGCCTCCTCCTCTGCTGCCATCTTCCATCCTTTAATCTCCTCTTTAACAGCTTTTACGTCGTCCATCATTAGTTCTCAACCTGAAGAATGCATCAAAAAAAGTTATGAGTTTCGCACATTACAGAACTATAAGGATGGCTTGACTGAATTAATCAAAAAAAAGTTATGTCTAGTGTTTTGACAAAGTTATGAGTTTCATACACAAAGAATTAAGAAGTGCATGATTTATTAACAAAGTAGCAACAACATGATTTATTAATCATAAATAGGAATTTTCAGGTTTCAATTTGATAGGGCACAATTAACAAATTAGCATTGTGCAGCACACTTTTAGAACTACAATGAAAGCTATTCAACGCCATTTCAACTGCTGTCTTCTAAGGATATTTCCCTTTTATGGATGTAGGAAATAACGGGCACACGCTATTGGCTTTACTACGTTTCATTCACTCTGCTGAATTTTGGCTGTTGTGTCGTAGCATGGTTCAGTTTAGACTGAATTTTGGCTACTGTGCAGTAGCATGGTTTAGTTTAGACGCTTGACCAAAACAACTCCAAATCAATATTGAGTAGTTTGAACCACATACCTTGGCTACACAGGCGGACGTAATTCCGGCGAAGTCGGCAGTACGCAGAAATTCAGAATCGGCATGCCCACAACATAATACAAAATATATGATGCAGGCAAGATGCTGCTGCAGCTGAAGCTGGCAAGAGAAAATAACTCTTATGAATTAGTGAAGTAAACACATATCACTCAGCCATGCTAAACCATTCACAGAGAACAAACTCTTAGCTAGACTGATAAACTGAAGCAATCAGCCAATTACGACTGAACCAGTTTCAGTCACTAGCAACATATGGCTCTATTACATAGTGTTATCTGGTACTACAAGAGAAGTAATTGTAAGTTTAGCAAGTTTCTTTTGCGAGGATTGACGGGTCAAAAAAGTCGCTGAATATAACTGGCCAGACATCCACTAAGTTGGTTCAACACAAATCGATACACTTTGGTGGCTCAAAATCATGCTTATCTGCAGACAAAAACCAGCATGTGTAGCATACTTTCGACCTGCACTCCAGAACCGAATATTCATGCTCACCCAATCAGATTCAATCCAGATCAAGATGCATATGGTTCTACTCCATACTATTATCTCGTACAAGAGCGAGGTAATTATGAGTTTAGCTTAGCAAGGTTCTTTGCGAGGATTGAAAAGTCAACAAGGCTCCTGAATATAATTCGCTAGACATTCCTTCACTTAACCAAATAAGTTTGTTTAACACAAATCGATCTAGTAGACGTGCTCATGGCGGTTAAAAATTATGCTTATTTTGCAGACAAAAGCAAGCTTGTGTGGCATATTTTTTACCTGGATTGTAGAACCGAATAATTCATGCTCATCCAATCAGATTCAATTGAGAATTCGAGATCAACATGCACATGGCCTATCTATACGATCCACGGCAACTAAAATCGTCTCATCCTTGGCGACGAATAATTAGGAAGGATCAGGGACCGTATGGGAGCACGAGCAACCAGAGTAGCCACTCACGGGCTCGCCAGCAAGGCAGGGGACAGAAAAATAACTGAAACAGGGGTTAAGGGGATAGCTAAAAAATAAGGCCTGAACAATGTCGGCTTATTGATATTGATATAATATAATTCGTTGAGCAAACAGCAAAGTACATATATACCACAGTACAAAATTAAGTATTGTCACT